ATTCATTTTTGCACTCGAAGTCGAGTTCTGCATATGTGACAGAACTCGCGTGATCTATGATTTTTAGAATAATTAGTTGCCGACTCGGTACGTCTATATCGCATAAATCGATGGAACCTTGAAATGGTCGTTTCTTGCCCTTAGGCTATTCTTATTGTATGTATCTTACCGTAAATTACAAATTATAATCGCCTGGAATTTCAGAAAAGCGTACAAATTTCTAGCTCTCGGCTTACAAAAAAATTAACTGCATTATTTTGTATATACATTCGAATCTGTGACATGCTATATTCAATATGGATTAAGTGGTTGAGAACATATTTTTCTTAAATCTTCACTTATTCGATCACATATTTATTTAGGGCTGCGTTGTAATGTTATGAATTCTCGAAGGAAATTCGAGCGCACTCGAATCTTTTGTGATGCAATACAATTGTCGGGATGGATTCTTCTGATGTCTTTTCATTTGTTGTTTAAGTTAGCCACTGATTGTGTTATGCTGCAGTCTCGCTGGTATCTTTATCCCGTATAAAACGGAAATATGTAGAAGAAACCTTTTTGTTAATCACCGTTTTCTGTGGTAGTAAAAGGTGTACAAAATTTATGACGATTAGTTAGTTTTCGTTTATATGACCTTTTTATATAGGGCCTGTTTAAATAATGAATTATTATTATTTTTTGTACTGAAGATGGTTGAAAATGGACAGGCTACACTTGATGTATTTAACATTATAATAACCGCCCGCTAGGGATTTCGAATAGCAATAAGGGCTGGCAGTAGCTTTGCCAACATTTAAGAAGAATTACAAATGATGGCTCTGTAGACGCAATTGCTAAGCTTTTTTGTTAGGTGCCGCGGGACTTGGTCTGATTCTCGCGCGGGAACAGTAGTTGTGTGACCCAAAAATGATTATTCAGCATCCGGGGTGTGCACATGTAAATTTGTAAAACGTTCTAGAACATAGGATAAAGTTATCCTTCAGTACAGGCAATGTTTAAATAATAATAATAATAATGTTGATAATAAATACTTAGACTAATACGCCGGACTTTTGTGAGCTTATGGTACTTCCGGTGCAACAGCTGATGCATACCTCTGAGAAAAGAACCTCGGGTTAGCCCAACTGAGATCCAAATTAGTATTTTTTAAGTAACTCAAACATTTAAAAGATCTAGGTTCAATAGCCGACATCAAGATTGGGTTATTAAATTCCAGCTAGGTTACATCAACCTCAAAGGGAGGTCAGCGAAGTTAACTCGTTCAAACCTACGACAATCTTTCACAATGTTCGTTCTGCCCGTTGTTAGGTGAAATCTTATGTATGGTTCAACGTTAGTCGTTTTAATTTTTCTTACACATTGAACTTCGGTTAAGCGAAATTCTAACATTCTATTTGCATTTCGAAATTTTTCATTCCATTGGTAAGCTATGAATTAAATGAAATCCGTTTGCAACAAGTTTAATAACATCAAATTGGTTTTTTAATCGAACCGTAAACAGATTCAACGGACACTTATGTGATAAAACGGTTAAGATTCACTTATTGCTCATTACACAATACGATAAGAGAGTGCAAGAGAGATAGTAGCCATGATGGCATTTGTGTGCTATCAATCCTGATGTAGATCTTCGTATTGTACAATTGCAAAATTATCGTGTCAAGGCAACGAAACCTGTGGAGCGGCACGCGTCTTCAATGTTCTGTCAATATCGGGTCTGAGACTTGAGAGCGCGTGTTCTAGTATAGGCCACCGGAAGTTGCACCGAATAAACAGTCGGTCAATTGGGATTGGACACTGGCGCGCAGTATCCAGAGATAGATGCTTCTAGAATTATAATCGTAGAGTAATTCGTCGATGGTTCTGAAACTAGTAAATGATTGCAGTAGACCTTTCTGGAATGTTGAAGTCGTAGATAGGCCTGGAATTCGTAAACGGGAGTAGAGGATCTTTCTCTAGTGGAAAATCTGATTAGATGATTTTTCTGGAACTAAAAAGTGAAAGTTTTAATGTAACGAGGTTTGTGATAGTTAAAAGTCAATAAAATAGTTTAAAGTCGTAGATAATTGTTATGGAATTCATGATGAATGAAATAGATGATTAAAATTAAATAAAAAGTTTTGGAACTCCTAGATGATTGCAAGAGACTTTTCTCTTGCATTGAAGTTATAAAACCCCTTGGTGGTGTAGAACTTCGTTAAATTCAACATTAGGCGTTCAGTTGCTGCTTTTACATATTAAAAGACGTTTTCGTTCTGCATCAGAGAGATTCCCCGGGTTCAGAATCCATAGGAATGTTTGATTTGCTTATCTTTCTATTTTTATCGTAAGACTATATGTAGCCTGTGACTTTGCTTGTGTCAATTTTGCTTTCTTACATCATCAGACGCTAATTCCTTTGATGATGCAAGACGATTACGATCCTCATAACTATCCCACATGGAACTGTTACCTATGCTGGACGCAAAGTTACTCGTCAGTCGATTGCTGCGCTATAGATGGACAAAGCAATTAATGTAGTTTTGTTTTAAAAAAAATATAATAGTTTAAAAAATATATAGTAGTTTAGTTAGAATTCAAATGTCACTAGGATTCTGTGAGGTCGTGGGTGTCATCCGGTTCAGGCGAGCCAGACCTTTCAAGTGTGGTTCCATCGTAATCTACTATATTTAGAATTATCCTTTCAAGCAATGAAATTTGAAAAAAGCTTACATTGCTTATCTATTTTATTTATAGACTCAAAGCTAGGCTATCTTCAGGTCATGAAATTAAGTTAGATTATATCCAAATTTGTCAAGATCTAAATTTGCATTCCACGCGATATTAAAAACGACAGTGGAGATTAAAAGTTCGCCTTACGAATAACTTATTGATGATTTCTCATTAACGTTGTTATTGACGAGGCTCGTTATAGCGATAGATGCTAACAATAGCTTTCTGCGTCACTGTTGCCTAGCGACACGTGTTTGTTTACGATAATCTTTTCATTTTTCACATGCGCTAACGTTTTATTGCTATGACATTGAACAAACCGTAATAAAAAATAGGACGAGAATGATTTGCTCGTCTTCTTGGCTCATTTGTTAACATTCTGCATACACATATACGTGTACTTGCTTGATGGTACATATTTATGTTACTCTGTTCTGTTCGTCATTTCTGCTTAATAACTGACTCCATGATTAAGTGGCGCAGTTGCCGTTGGTTGTGGGTTGGCTCTGTTGGCTCCCATGCTGGAGTCATAGGTTCGACTCCCACAAGTAACAAGTATTTGTGTGACACACATAACGAATTGGTCCGGATCTGGATGTTTGTTCCCTCGGAGGGTTGACGTCAGGCAGTAGGCCGGACGTCACATGTAAATAAAAAATGCCCTTCTTGCACAGGTGCATATTTTTTCGATGACGCAAGGGCATTTCATAATGCAATGCAATCGCACTCAATGTGCCAGATATCGAAGCGCTCTTTTTGTTAACTCCTTGTAAGCGAGCCGCCCAATCAAAGCTGGCGTTTTACAAGGATCTTGTCTCTCGCCCTTACTTTTTACGCTACACGAGTGACATCCCTAAGGTTATTAATAGTTACCACAACAATTTACTTTTTATCTTACGACTGATTACAAAGTCTTCACGAACAATCTATCATTAACACTCTTTATTTAATGTAAACTCAAATACTAAAACTTAATTTACTGTAAAAGTTCAATTAGAGTTTGCATATCTTGCTTTCGCTTTCTATTAATGGAGCTTCTATTCGGCCTAACAAGTTGCGTTGGCTAAAACTCCGCTCATTTAACATTCATTGTCACATTTTTCAGTGGTTGTGTAATATTACTCCGTAAATACAGTCCAAAAGGTGGGCGAACTGGCGTGCGATATTTGTTCCATTTTTATACAAACTGAATTTCAGTTGCAGTAGCGATTCTTCAACATCTAATGCACTTGGTTGCGTTACGATAATAAACGTTTTCTTATAAATGCATAATATTATAATGGAGATAATTACATGGTTTTCTTTAACAACACCGTCATGGTTCATAATTTAAATACCCAATGACACTCGCGCAATAAAGACGAATCTAACGTCACATCATTCATCGAAATCGGTTCACCCTCAACTAGTTACGAGGGAACCATAACACATGACATTTTGTTTTTGGGTTCGTCGTAGTCGGGTAAAAAGAAATGAAACTGACATCTGTGTTGTCTTTTTCATCGTCGTAACGCAGACACAATAACTTCTTTTAAATAAACCATCGGCTAATGAGTATTTGCAATTGTGCTACTCAAATATTAGTAGAGTTATTGCGTGTTTGTTGTATATGATTGTTAAGCTCAAAGCTCCCACAAACCAGCTTATAGACGTCGGCGTAGCTGGGTTGTGATCGTGAGGTAGATTATGTGTTACTACGAATAGTCATTCCGGATCGGAATTTTTTTCATTTTAGTTTTAATAAACTCAAGAAAATGTTGGTCACGTTTAATTTCTTCGTCTTTTAATTTTTATTTACTGACCATATAATTTTAGTTTTATTTCAGATTATTGGAATTCATTCTGCATTATTTCGTTACATTTATGTTTGTTCTTGTTTATTCTTAATTTTACTCTGAAATTAATTGCTATTTTTAACTATTTTTGCATTTATGCATTATTATTGCTTATGCTATTATTTACCTGTAACAATGCGGTGTCACCTAATAAGGTACATGCATCAGAATTTTTATGTATATATTGTTATTGTAAGTGATAATCGCCGCCCAATGACATGTGCAACACCCGTAGGGTTGCAGTTGTGTTGTTGTTATGTGTTTCTACCTTTAAATAAAGTGGGCGCCCCGGCTACCTCAATCATCAGACGATACGCAGATTTATAATACTTACTTAGGTACTTACTCGGAAGGACCAGCCCATTCGTACCACATGAGTACGAGGACCACGCAACACGTGGACCTAACACAGTAAAAAAAGTTTTTAAGTGTCGTGACTTTTTCTGCCCGCAGGCCTTGGCTCACACCCTTCAGGGTCTTGGGCAGGATGAAGGTATGTACCAGCAGTTCATACCGCTGGCGATCCACCTCGCAGACGAGTTCTTCCTCACTCACCCGTCGCGAGACGTGCAACTCCTCATCGCGTGCTGCATCGCCGACGTGCTAAGAGTCTACGCCCCTGAGGCACCATACAAAGACCAGGAACAGGTGAGTTTCCCTATCGAATTTTCTGCATGTAGACTACTCACACAACTTTGAAATATTCTCTTAGCTATTAAGAATATAAAAATATAAATTTCGCAGATTAATTTTTTATTTTTGTTTAACTTTTTTCCTTAATGATATAACTTGGGCGTATCGCACTCGCATTGTATAGTTATCGCCTTGTAAGTTGGTGGAATTTATTATTAGAGCTCGCAAAATGATTTTTTTCTTTTACTATATTTCATACTTTTAACTGTTTTTATAAACATCTGAACTTAGTTTTTGAGTTTTTAGAGGTTTTAGAATTAAGTATATAAATAAAGGTTTTACTGTAAATCGGGAATTTAGGAATTGTTGCATGGGAGAGAAACTTTAATGTTGAAACGACATCCTTTTGACTGATGACTACTTCTTAAGTAATGTTGAAAATACACATCAATTTAAACGAGCAAAAAGATAAAATTTCTGAGCAAATGTAAGATTATTTGATTTTGTTCAACTTGGCCAAAACCAATTTTCTGATAACAAAACGGAAGTGACTCATATTGTGCAGATATTAAGTACATTGTTATCGAAATGTTTATTAATTCTCAGTGGCATTACCATCCGTTTAACAATATAATATGATAATAAGCTTGACCTCTGCGTAGAACCGATAACCGTTGGGTAAGAAAGGTTCTCGAGTGGGAGCCTCGTGCTGGCCATCACAGTGTAGGACGACCCCCACTAGATGGAGTGATGATCTGTGCGAGTGTGCGGGAAGTAGATGGATGCAGGTGGCTCAGGATCGCGCTCTGTGGCAATTTGTGGGGGAGGCCTATGATCAGAAGGAGACTCAAACAGGCTGAAATGATGATGAATAAGTTTGATATCGTGGCGCGTATTGGGGTTTGGTTACCTTACCACGCCTGATGACAGATTGCCGTTACGAAAAAGTTTCGTAGCCAAGGCTAAGCTCTATCACAAGATATCCCACACCTCCTCTTTTTCTTTGCCTTATGTGTGTTCAGTTATGAAGTTAGCATTTTCTTTGCCTTTACCTTTACGTTATGTTGTATTTGTTTATCTAATGGAATTTTTGTAACAAAAATTTCATTGGTTTGTGGCCAATAAACTATCCATTTTATCAAAATTTTGCTAATGAATACTTTAAAATGTCCATATTACTTTAAAATGTCCATTATTAGGGGATCATATTCGTATTAAATTCACCCCGATTTAAAAGTCATTAGATCATCCCAAATAAATACACTAAACATGCCGTCACAGGGGTTAGCCAGTTGTCTTGCTAACGTCATTACGGGAGCACTGCAACTTGTTATACAAGACCATGATTCATTTTGTTTTAAATATTATTATTTACGTCTTTCGCAGGTCAAAACGATATTCCTGTTCCTGATAAACCAACTCCAGGGTCTGCGCGATCCCAAGGACCCAGCGTTTAAGCGCTACTTCTACCTCCTGGAGAACCTGGCCTATGTCAAATCCTTCAACATGTGCTTCGAGCTCGAGGACTGCCAGGAGATATTCTGCGCCCTCTTCTCGCTGATGTTCAAGATTGTCAAGTGAGTGTAAATGTGGATTGCATCCCATGCACCGTTAAAATGGCAGCCGATATCGGGGTCGAACATTTTGTATACGGTGGTTTTGAAACAGACTAGAATAAACTACTTGTTTAATATTTTCGGTACAAATGGTCATTGTAAACTAAGCGACTAAATTTAATTTTAATTCCCGACGTTTCGAACCCTTTACAGCGTTCATGGTCACGGGACCATGTCCATGTAATAAACGCGATAAATCCGTAAAATTAGTTTCATTTATAATGTGTAATCGCGTAAATACAAGAAACCATTATATTAATGTTAAAGTTTAACGCACCGTTATCCACGCTGTTCCTGCACTAATGAGCAGGTCCGTCCGGGTAAGTGCCACGACCTCACAGAAGATTTTACGTCCGCGTTTCGTCTGGTGAGTGAGGTAGCCGGGGCCCACTTTATTAAAAGTTGGTAACGCATCTGAAATCCTACGGGTGTTGCACTAATAATCACTTAACGTCTGGTGAACCGCCAGCTCATTTGCCACCCTATCACAATAAAAAAAAAGTTTACGTTAATTCCGTTCTTATTAGAATTGTCGAAGTACACTAATCGGAAGGGCATTAAGACATAAAATGGAGAGTCATTCCCAGTTCCTTTTATTTCATCGTCATGTAATCGTATAAAGGGATCAGCGTAAATGGCGAGAGTTGTTTGTGGGATCGTAAATCATTTCGATCTCTCGCCGGTGAATGTTTTCTTTTCATAATCCATTTTTACTTATCACTTACCAACAGCACGGAACACTCGACGAAGGTCAAGTCGTTCATGCTGGACGTCCTCTGCCCGCTCATCACCGAGTCCGACGTGGTCTCCAAAGAGCTGCTCAACGTCATCCTCATCAACCTTGTGGAGCCGAACAAGCGGGAGCACAAGCACGCCTACTCCCTCGCGAAGGAGCTCATAATCAAGACAAGCGAAACTTTGGAGCCCTGCATACAAGCGGTAAGTGGGAAACGAAACTCATCTTTTGTTGTTAATTATGTTTCATCAGTATCCCACACCCCGACCCCTACTACTATATTAGATAAGGTTTACTCTAGACAATTTGTCTGTAACTATTGTAATTGGATAGTGGGTATTTCTATCTTCAAGATCGTCATATAATGTGCCATATATTATATACAAAGTCTTTGTTTCTTCGTCGTACTAATAGTACATTGTATTGTTTCAGTTCTTCAACCACGTCCTGATCCTCGGCAAGGAGGAGAAGAACCTCCTCATCTTCTCCAAAGTGTTCGAGCTAATATACGAGCTGTACCAGTGCTGCCCATCTATACTGCTGTCTGTGCTGCCACAGCTGGAGTGCAAGCTGAAGTCCGCCCAGTTCCAGGAGAGGCTAAGCGCGGTGGCGCTCCTAGCGAGGATGTTCTCCGAACCGGGCTCAGAGCTGGCCAAGCAATACCCCGCTCTCTGGCGGGCGTTCCTGGGCCGTTTCAACGACATCTCCGTACCGATCCGAATCAAGTGCGTCCAGTACTGTATGCACTTCCTCGTCCACCACCCCGACCTGCGGAAGGACATAACGGAGACCCTCAAGATGAGGCAGCACGACGCCCACGAGCAGGTGCGCTACGAGGTGGTGATGGCGATAATAGCCACCGCCCAGAGGGACTTCCAAGCGGTCGCCGAGTCGGAGGATCTATTGCACTTTGTACGGGAGAGGACCCTCGACAAGAAGTTCAAGATACGAAAGGAGGCCATGTCCGGCCTCGCGATGATATACAAAAAGTTCCTGACGGAGAAGAGCGTACCGCCGGCGACAGAGAAAGCTGTGCAGTGGATCAAGGATAAAATCTTGCACGGCTACTACATGACAGCGCTGGAGGATAGATTACTAGTAGAGAGGCTGCTCAACGCCTCTTTAGTTCCGTACACTCTACCGGCGCCGGTGCGTATGAAGAAGCTCTACTACCTGATGTCTAACGTTGACGACAACGCCACCAAAGCGTTCATAGAGCTGCAGAAGCACCAGCTGGCCGTGCGTAGAACGGTAGCCGAGTGGGTGGAGCTGCACAGGAAGCCGCCCACGCCGGCCGTCCAGAAGGAGCTGATCGCGAAGGTGCTGCACATCAGCTCCAAGTTCCTGCCGGAGTCGGTGAAGGCGCAGGAGTTCCTCAACAAGTTCTCGCAGCACATGAAGAAGGCGCCCGAGCTGCTGCAGGGCATGGAGACCATACTCAATCCGAACGTCAGCTGCGACGTGTGCGTTAGGACGACCGTGAGTTTTTTTATGTGAAATTTTAAAATGATTACCGAAGAATTTCAGATGTGTTATTTTTATGTGGTGTGGAAGGTGGCAAACTTGTTAAGTGAGAACCGCCGCCCATAGACATTTGCAACACCCGTAGAGTTGCAGATGCGTTTCCACCTTTTAATTAAGTGTGCCCTGGCTACCTTACTTACCAGACGAAACGCAACTCTTCCGCTTAAAGCCAGTCTTTTGTGACGTTATGGTACGGACGGATTTGCCTATTCGTGCAACAGTGAACACTTGCGTGACCCAACCATGTTGCCAACATAAAAGTAGTGAGCCCGAAATTATAATACTTAAGGCTATTTTTTGTGAGACTGTGGTATTTCTTTGGACAAGCCAGCCTATTCGTACAACAGTAAAAGCTGTTGCATGGGCCTTGCGTTATGTTTTGTATTTCTAATAAAGGCGTCAGTCGGATTATAAATCAGTAAGACCATTACGATATTAAATTTCATTTATTTCGTCGGCAATTATTCATCTCCTGTACTTATAAAGTGTTCACGTTACCTTGCGTTATTGTTTGATTGTAAAATAATTATAAAAACTAGCTATTGTAGGCATATAACAATGCCTCGATTGAACTACTGTTTTTCTACTATAGAAAAACGTTTTTATTAACATATTTAAGATAAATCATTTTTCTTTCAGTCGAGCGTTCTAAAGAAACTGGGCCAGCCAGTTATGACAAACCTATACTACAACACTGTGAAGATGCTTCTAGAACGAGTCAGCTCAGTGATGATCGACCATGACTCTCTGCTTATACTCGTCGGCTATGTGGAGGGCGCTGTTAAAGGAACGGACACCTCTATCGCGGAGGAGTGTGGTGAGTATTTAACATATTTTTGTGACAATTGATTACTTGTAAAGGGAAGTACGAATTGCATATCAAGCATTGCAGTTTTTATTAAATAAATAAATAAAATATTAGCTTTACTATAGAACACCCAGAACAATCATGTACACCAGAGGCATACGATAGTAACTCCACATTTATCAAAATTATTTTTCTTACACCATTAAAAAAACAAGAACAAATTCTACACATTAGTATAAAGCATTAAGCCCTACTTCGCCTAATGAATAAAATATACAATCGTATATGACATCATAATCAATAATGCATTCAATGATTCACTACACGCATTTTTGCCTCTCCTGTAAAATTTGTGTTTTGTCGCATAATGCTATTTACCTCTGAGGTACAGAATTATCTGTGGGTCACGTGAATACTTGTCCCGAGTTGTTATCAAAACCCCACGACCCCACAGAGTACTTTTCGAAATCTAAACTTAGGTGATATGGTACCATTGTCCCGTTCCAGGCATCGACCTGAAGAAGGCGGCGGAGCGCGGGCTGAAGCTGCTCGTGATGCTCTCGTTCGTGTTCCCGGCCCACTTCCTGCACGAGGACGTCCTCAGCCGGCTCACGTCGCTGCTCGAGATGGACGACGAGACGGTGGCGCCGCACATACTCGCCGCGCTCACCTTCCTCGGCAAATACCGCCCGCTCAGTGAGTCTCCCCGCTCCCGCCCACCGGGTGAGAAGAAGTGGCCATCTTACGTATGTCCCGCTGCTAGGCAAAGGGCTCCTCTTAACAGTGGGTATCAGGGCATAGTCCACCACTCGGCCACGCTGCGGATTGGCGGACTTCACATATCTTCGAAATATATTTTTTTGTGTTATTCCCTCAAACTTATTCCACTATGTTTTCTTGCACCGAGGACGCGATAAGTCGGCGCTTAAAATTAACAATTTCATCGGTGCCGACGCCGGGGATCGAACTCAGGTTGCTCGTGTATATGGAATTAAAAGAAAGCGCACATACAATGAGCTGGAGACGTTACTAGGGTTCCATAACTCAAAAGGAAAAACAGGATTATACGTTAACTTCATTGTCTGTCTGTCAGGACTTTTTTTCGTATAAAGGTCACGATGGTCAAATTATATTTATAACGAATATCCCCCAAAATTATATTTATTTGGCAATCCCCTGGATTTTTCCGAAAAATAAAAAAAAATACGTTTGGGGTGGATCACCCTTATCACTTAGGGGTATGAAAAATAGATTACCAATTTACCACCGATTCTCACTACCAAATATACATATAAATTTTAATAAAAATTGATCAAGCCGTTTTGGAGGAGTATGGCAACTAACATTGTGACACAAGAATTTTATATACACAAATTTAACTGCGGTAGGACCACGCGACAGCCGTACAGCTTAGGTCCGTCCAGGTAAATTCCACGACCTCACAGAAGACCGGCGTGGTGTGGCAATGTTATACTTCTGCGTTGCGTCCGGTGAGTGAGGTAGCCGAGGCCCACTTTATTAAAAGGTGGAAACGCATCTGCAACCCTACGGGTGTTGCGTATATACATGAGCGGCGGTTATAACTTAACATCAGGTGAACCGCCAGCTCGCTTGCCACCATATCACATAAAAAAATTGTCCCGACCCCACTCTGGATGGACAAGGGCAGGAGAAAGTAGAAGGAATGTGAAACTTACCGTTGATATTAAATTTTATTTATCCCCAGGCGAGGCGTGTCCGTCACTGTTCCCGAAATTGATTACGCTGTGCAAGGCGTACGCGGAAGTTGGCACGCCGAAACAGGCTAAGAACGCCGTGAGGTGAGTGTCGTCTCTTCGTATTCAAAGAATATATTCAAACTTCATTTATGATATCTTACCTTATTAGTTTAACATTGTTTAATTATTGTATATATTATGTTGAGTATTCCATAATTAAAAAAAAATATTAATATTTTATTTTGACAAGAAATAACCAGAAAAATATCAATTCAAAGAACGAAGAAAATACTATGGTATTTTCATCGTTGTTTATTCAAGCATTAAACGTGTTATACTACAGTATAATATAGTCCGACTTTTCATAGCAGCCACGAAGCGTGTAGTATACGTATACACGGACAGGCGGCGTGACGTCATCAGAGCGTCACGCCGTCTGCCGTGACGCCGTGAGCCTTGTGTTTGACATCGACAAATGCCACTCGAACGCCAGGTGCCTGTTCGTGAACGTGCCGGAGCAGCGGTGCCAGATCTTCACGGAGATGCTGGACACGCTGCGCGCCACCCTCAACCCCCTCTCGGAGCACTACCGCACCGCCATCGTCACGCTGGGCCACGTCGCGCACAACCTGCCCGACACCTTCCCCGTGCACATCAAGAACATCGTCTCCAGAAAGGTGACTCCCACTATAGTAAAATAGTGACATTCAGAAGCAATCGAGCGTAGACAATTTCGAACATTTTGTAAAAGCTACGCTAATGGAAAGGGCCTATTATAATGTCGATGAATACATTGACGACCACGATGTGTCGAAATGACTCTTTCTTTGCACTCGTAATTTCTGCTGCTAATTTTATACTTAAATACTTCTGTGTACTTATACATTTAAAAAAAAAAAAAGATGAAACATTTAAAATTTGTAGAAAAAATGGATGAAAAGTTTTCTTTCGCTGTGGGGATCGAATTTACGTCCGGATTCGCGCCACACCGACAAAAGTCTCAACTTATTGTACGTAGATGTTTTTTGTGTTGTAATGGAAATAACAATAAATGCGTCAAGCATTGTTTAAAATGCAAAAAATCTTAAGTAATTTCATTCCATGAGCAAACTAGTTGGGTGGAAAGGTCGATGTACCATTGAATCATTATTGTGAATGCAGATTGTTTGCGATAACATACTTGGTATATAAAAAAATAAGTACACCTTTTGCGAGTTTATGCTTGATCCATAAAAAACATTATTATTATTCGTCATTATCCATCGTTCTATCGTCCATTCATGAACTGTTCTAACTCGCTTATGTTCTCTAACTAAACAACAGTCGCAACGAAGCATCCTTTCATACAATTTCGCCAACGCAGATCGTGAAGGAGCTGCTGGTCCGCGAGGGCGGTGGGGGTGCGAGCGCCCCCCGCACGGATTGGTGCGACGAGGAGGAGCTGCCCGAGGAGACGCGCTGCAAACTGGAGGGGCTCAAGTGCATGGCGCGCTGGCTGCTCGGTCTGAAGAAGGACGAGCTCTCCGCTCAGAAGACCTTCCGCATGCTCAACGCGTTCATCGTGCACAAGGGCGACCTCTTGCAGGTGCGCCGTCCACGTTCGCTAGAGTTTGTTTTTTAGGGTTCCGTACCCGAGGGATGAAACGGGACATAATTACTAAGACTTCGCTCGCTGTCTGAAGACAAACGTATAGACACGTTTGTCTGCACATTCGAGCAATAGTGAAGACTGCGTGGCAATACCACAATCAATGTGTAATATAATACCACATAGTAAAATTATTCATTGTATAAAAACAATAGTGTGTCATTTATAATGTAACAGAAGGCATTGTCTTGCAATCCTGGAACCGGCGAAAACAATTTGTTGACAATTCGTTTACAGATTTTAGTTATCGTCCCAAGTGTTGAGGCTAGTAATAGCAATAAATATAAAAATAAAACATTAATACGTTAAAAGTAATATGCCTAAAAGTAATAATGCCTTATGATGTCTGAATATTTTGTCATGTCTCTTTTACAGCAAAATCAGCTATCGAAAGCCGAAATGGCTCATTTACGGTTAGCGGCTGGGGCGGCCATGTTGAAGATTTGCGAACAGAAAGGCGTTGGTGACCAATTCACCGCAGAGCAGTTTTACAATTTGTCACATCTCATGGTTGTGAGTACAATTTTGTTAACATAATATGGATTAATAAGAAAAATAAGCGAGTAGCGGGAAGTAAAGTGATTTTTAATAAATCGGCGTTTCATACGTAATATTACAAATTTATTTAAACATCACATATTGCTCTGCTATTTATTCTAATTGGTGAAGTTTGTTGTGTTTATGATAAAATTTATTTTAAAATAAGACTAAAATGTTAGAGGATTACATATTCAACAATAAGATTACATACATAGGGTTTTGTTATCCCCCTAACTCCAACATGTTATGTTTTATTTATTGTAGGATGAAGTTCCACAAGTGCGAGAGATATTTGCGGCCAAACTTCACAAAGGACTTTCTAAGGTAATGGATTAAACATACTCTTTTGTAATATTCCGTAACTAGGCAAAATTTCGTCGAAATATTATTTAAGTAATTTTGACAACATATTTATTTAGACTATGTTCTTATCTGTTTAGCTATTTATCTAATAAGTTAAGTCATAACTTTAAAATACACTATATTTACGTAATTAAAAATGAAAGGAAAGTTTAATTACAATTAGTTTAGAAAGTTTAATTATATGTGAAATTATTTTTATTTGTATAAAAAATAGTGAAGTCGCCGATGTTGGTTTTACTCATAGATTCAAAAGGTTATATTTACGTACCAAGTAATTTATTGCAATATTACGGTTGTGTTTCATAATTTTACTGAATGCCGAAGTGACAACCCTAATAGCTGTGCTTTCTTTAACTGTCCGTCACTATTCAGTGTCCCTGCTTCGGGGCGCTTTGTGGTTCTTCTTTTTGGTATCGGAGGGAAATCTTGAAAAGATACCCTGTCCATTATATGAAAGGGTTATGTGGGGTAACCACTAAAACCTACCTGCCTATAATAAGCGCTCTGAGGTTGAGGCCTGGTAACCTGTAATACAGGTTTTAATTACCTACCATAGGCACCAGCGATCCACAATAAAACATTTCACTTTTAGCATGAGATTTAGTTTAATTTCGTACCGAGCGGGGTTTGTGGTGAGAAGATAAAAATATAATAATATCGCGCCGACGTGGACCGCAGGGCATCCCGAACAAGTGCCTGCCGCTGGACTTCATGGGCATGTACGCGCTCGCGGGCCGCGAGCCGGACCGGCGCGTGCGCGCCCTGGTGCGCCAGTACATGCTGGCGGACGTCGTGCGGCGCCGCGACTACGTGCGCAACATCACCGTCGGCACCAAAGGTATCGCCTCTTACAAAACATACGCTCACGAAACGAGAAACACCTTTGACTTGGGCCAACGCATAAAATCACGCCACATCGTGTCATCGACGACGCCACTGCACTGGCCAGCGGTAAGCAACTTTGTGCAACGTAACGTCTTGTGATAAAAAGGGGCGGCGCTGAGGTATTGCTACTCCGCGATGGCCGCCACTCGTCCTTTGTTTACTCAAATGTTTAACGATTTTTTTATATGCTTAACTCGCACCATGTTTCGTCTTTTGTTTTGGCACCTATATAAGCACCTGCATTTCTTTAAATAAACATTATTATCATATAAATATTGAAGTTCCTACTCTAGTTCCTACAACGCCGTTCGCAGCGGTAGATCGACAAATGAAAAATGTCGAGATAACGATGGTATAGTATGTGAGATTATGAGTCAATAAATAAATAACGGTTTAAAAATTTTTGAAATAAGATTAAGTTTGTTGTAAAGAGTTCACTAGTTGATGATAGCCAGATATCTATAAAGTAAAAAAATTGTAAAACAGTGTAAAACAGTTAGCGTGTTAAAAAATAGATCCGATATGATTATAGCGGTCGAATGTGATTAATCGACCAAAACACATCACGAGTTTGGTTCGCAGTTGAACGCGCCGTCAGCCAGTTGCCACACATCCTGCCGGACTATATGCTGGTCTTCGCAGTGCCTATACTCGCGCACGACCCGACTTTCACCGCCTACGACAACATCGCTCAACTTAAGGTATGGTGTATCTTAAGTGCTCATTCTAAAATGTATTATAATTAGCTCATTAAACTGTGATACGCAATAGAATTACAGTGACCTATTTGTAAAAATATCATATTTGGGAAACGTAAAATAAAGATTTGTGCACTTATGAGAAGAAGTTTACGCTATGTAGCTTTCTAAAATCGGCCCTTATTTTCATACGAGTCGAAGAAGGTAGTCGTTTTAGGTTGTTTCCTGACATTAAGGACGCGTTTACGAATTCACGCGCTTCAATTTTAGGTACAGAGGCGTACTACTACACGTGCACGGCTCACGCACACAGCGACAAGCGCGAAGCAGCGAAACTTTATGTAACTGACGCAACTTGATACTTTTATTTAATTTGAAGTCATTTATTTTTTAAGCTTACGTTAAATTTGTTTTCAACAAGTTTTTAAACTGAATATTTTTTTTTATATATTTAGGTATAATTTATTAAATTTCATTTAAAAGCTCGTAGCTGTTGATAATTTGCGTTTTAATTAATTATATATATAATTTAATTTTATGTTTTAATTAATTTTTATGAAGTAAACGAAGCTTGTTTTATACATGTTTGATTATGCGTGCGGTAGGTAGATAGCTTGATAGGTAGGTAATGGTAGGGTACGTAGGAAGGTAGCTATGTAGGCAGATAATTAGGTAAAACCCGCTAACGAATTGAGTAAATACTTTGTATGGTATTCTGAATGCATTTTGCTAATTCAATAATATTCATGCTAAATGTTAAAAAAAAATAATTTTCTGTAAATGAATTGGAAATAGCATGGCGTACGAAGCCGGGCTAGTATCTAGAAACTAAAAATGAAATAATAAAACGAAGGAAACAAACTAGTAAAAATTAAAAAAACATTTTTATAAAAAAAAACCTGTCGCACTCGGCTCAGCTGGGGTAAAGCTACAGCATAGCATTTTTTATCAACTTATGCGATTATAATTATTTAATTATGCAGTATTTTTTTCTTTGATATTTATATTTATGTTAATAAATAATAATATTTTAATAATATAATAATTAATTTATATTATTTACAAAAATGATAAGAACTACTAAGTCAGTCACTAAGCTCTGGATAGTTAAATTACAATATACTAACATTTTTAAACTTGTGATATCTTTCGAATGGAATGTCCGAATTTAATCATTCAAAAAGTCTTAAATATAAAGTAATTTATTTTTATAAGAATTAATACCAAGATACAAATAAAGAGCCTTTTCTAGCGGCGGCATTTCAGTCAAAATTTTAAAGTAAAAGAATACTTATTGTGGCATAATTATAATAGTTAGACATATACTGTCGCAACACTTTTTATAAATAATGATGTGTTCTGCAAATTCGTAGTACATTATTTTATACAATTATCAATAGTTTTAGCAGCGCACGCGATGCAAACAATATTTTAGGTAATTTTTGTACACTTTGGTTTACATTATCAAGTTTTAGTAAGGATTCCTAGTTTTTTTGAAAATTTTATATATCCTATGTCATCCGGGGATAATGTAGCTTCGAGACAGTGAAAGAAATTTTCAAATCTGTTCAGTGGTTTAGGAGCCTATTCAATGCATAAAACAATCAAATCTTTCCTCTTGCGTGCTAGGCGGAGTGGGTGGTGTTAGGTTTTATTTTCGTTACGGAATTTATTGATTCGTTCGCCGCGCTCAAAGCCCGCGATAAAAGCTGTGCAATAGCTTAAAAAAATATTGTTTCATTTTTAATTTGACTCTTCCATGCTCTTCGCAGAACTGTCGCTATGTCGATCCTGGGTGGAGCAAGCCCGCGAGGCCAATTTATACCTCCGACACGAGGTTCTGGCTCCGCCTTTTGATGTTCACTCTAGGGATAGGGAAGACCACACGGAGTCGGGGTGCTCTGTGTCGGATCTTTGTGATTTTTCTTTATAGTTCTCTATCATTTAATTATTTTTGTTATCTATATCGAAGTAGTAGCCTGCTAAAATTTTATCGTTTTAGGCTTTGGCATCTGAAACAACAATTGAGTTATAAGAGGTATAAATGTTGTATGTGATAACTGTGCCATAAAAATAAGTCTTTGATAATTTAAGTTGAGACCCACTACATTTTTACATAACTATTTTTTTTTTCGTGTTTTGCCTATTTTAAAGACGTTCTTACTTATTTTAAATTAAGTATTATTTTAGGCAGAATCCATGATCATAAAAGTTGATCAGTGCGAAACACGACAAAACAATAAACGATAAATGGGGTCATAAACATGAAACAAAAAGTTTGCCACATAGCTGTCGTTCGAAACTTTTGAAGTACATGTTTATTACACCTATTCATTGAAACATACAAAAAAATGACCTTTTAGACATGCCTAATCTTACAATTTGCAAAGTGTGCAAATTTGTTTTGTATTACTTGTATTTTTAATTATCCATACAACTTTTCTACATGTGGTGTACTTTTGGCCAACATTTGGCTGCATGGAAATAAGAATTTATAATAAAATACCAGATAGGTTCACAGGCCTGCCGGAGTATTTAAATTTAAACGAAAATTCTAAAATCTGTACACTGTAAAATTAGACATTTAAAATATTTAATCATGTCTAAGTAATGTAGAATGTTTATATTAAAAATTCATTACTTTGACTTGTGATTTACTTTGACTTATATTTATACTCTATTGACTCATAATTATAATCTAAATTTCAATTTTTTTTTATATTAACATGTTTCACAAATATTTATACACAGAATTGATGTAGAATACGTAGTTCCATATTTTAAATAACTTTTTTACTGTATTCTTACACCTTCATGCCAATACATCAATTTCAAAGGTAAGGTCTCAAAAAAACTAACAAAACAAGCCCAAACTCGACACACGTAGCTCATCTCGTCTGTTAGTTGCAGTAGCAGTTCTCGAAGTACACCTTCAGGTCACTCCATCTAGTCAGAAGGCAAGATCTCACCATACCTAACAAAACAAGCCCAAACTCGACACACATAGCTCATCTCGTCTGTTAGTTCCAGTAGCAGTTCTCGAAGTACACCTTCAGGTCACTCCCATCTAGTCAGAAGGCAAGGTCTCACCATACCTAATACAAACAAGCCCAAATTCGACACACATAGCTCATCTCGTCTGTTAGTTCCAGTAGCAGTTCTCAAAGTACACCTTCAGGTCACTCCATCTAGTCAGAAGGCAAGGTCTCACCATACCTAACAAAACAAGCCCAAACTCGACACACATAGCTCATCTCGTCTGTTAGTTCCAGTAGCAGTTCTCAAAGTACACCTTCAGGTCACTCCATCAAGTCAGAAGGCAAGGTCTCACCATACCTAACAAAACACGCCCAAACTCGACACACATAGCTCATCTCGTCTGTTAGTTCCAGTAGCAGTTCTCGAAGTACACCTTCAGGTCACTCCATCAAGTCCGTAACGAAATATGAATTTTTAACCCCTACTAATTTCTAGTAAAAATATGACAAAGTGTGAATTATAGTTTACTTTTGTCGTTCGTAGTCCGAAGTCCGAACATGATGTGTAAAGTATCAACTTTGTTACGACAAATATTTTGTATTCGTACAGCGATCTTTTTCCTCACGAGCTGCTGTTTATAAGCGACATAGTGACCACTCATGACGGCAGCCGAGCGCCGACTAATATTTCTTTAAATATTTTTGTGGAATAAATCAAAAAAGTGACCAGTAAAATAACCTTTATGTCAATCAGTTAAGATTCACGCGTAAGATATAAATGTGAAAGAAATAGATTTTAATCTTTATTTTTTTCTGAAACTAATTTCAACAATTTTGATACGTAATGTAGCTACCTTTTTGAGTTGAACATGTGTGCTTACATAAAATATTTTTAAATAAAAAAAAATATGTTATTAAATAAGAGAAAAATGTTCCTAAACCCAACAGGATATCGTCCATTTTGAGTGAAGTGGTCACGAAAATTCTCATTTACAATATTATAAACCAAAATTTTCGATTAAAAACTATCTACCATTTGAAGATGAAGGAGGGATCTATATGTGATAATTATTACTTACATTATATTCGTTTCGTTTTGCCGCAAAATGTACCTGAAAACGCCCTATTTTTCCAGATTCCGCGAGATTTCGCAAACACGCCCTTAAGTCAAAATCATGATTTTCTTAATTAGATCCCTTTATTTCTATAAATATAAAATTGGCGCGATATACGGAGGAGGCCTTTACCCAGCAGTGGGACATTTATAGGCTGTTACTTTACTTACTATATTCAACTATGTATTCTAATATATTTACCATGTTATGACCTCGCAAAACCTTCTCATAGAAGACCGGTGTGCAGTGGAAGTATTAACCATTGGCGTTTCATCTGGCAATTGATGCAACCGGGGCCAATATTATTTAAAGTTGGCGATGCATCTGCAACTTCTCACGTGTTTTACTTCCATGGGTGTTGACGATAATCCATTAAATCAGTTGCCCACTCACTACTCACATAAAGTTAAAAGCGATACCTAGTTATATTTTATATAAAATTGCAGGTTGTAAAGCAATGCTTATGGTTCATATTGGAGCCGCTAATAACGCGCAACGACTTCTACTGCTACGGATTCTACAAGAGCCTCGTTGAACGCATGAAAAACCACAAAGACGCGCTCCAAGAAGACGATGACGCCATCAACTACGTAAGTGACTATTTGTTTGTAAGCAATTGCCTAAGAACTGAGGCTCAGTGCACGGCAACTGAATTGTACAGCACTCTTTGCAAGTGGAGAGTTCGCAATACATATCCTAACGAAGTAATGCCGCCGAGAGCTACTTTCAGACGATTCCATACGGAACGAAAAATTGTGTACTCCATATTTATGTGCCTTGTGTCCGTCTCGCAGTATAGGTAATATTTTCTTTCTAGCGAGAGTAGGTGTAAATATTCTCAACCTTTCGTCTCTAATTCCAGGGGGCAAATAATTGGCGTAGATGATAGTGAACTCGTTTCTTGCGCCAGAGTATATGGGTCCAACTACTATTGGAAGAAATTCTTGTGATGAACAAAGTGTTTCTATTGTATAGTTTATATACGAAAGTAAAGAACGTTTTTCAGTTATCTACTCATAGTGTAAGCTCAATTTGGGACTGGACAGCGTTGTGTAAAGACACTTTACAATTGCAGAAACTGTGGGCGGTGTGCGACCTGGCGATGTCGGTGATCTGGTCGCGCTCGGCCAACTTCGAGATGCGCGAGTTCCCGTCCGACGCGCGCATCCCCACGATGTACTTCGCGCCGCAGCCGGACTTCTTCGTCAACACGCGCATCTTCCTGCCGCCCGAGCTGCAGGTCCGTTGTGACGCTGCCCCGTTCGATGCTCCGCCATCGGGAACTTTCGATAGCGCTGGTCAATGACCGGAATCGGTAGCCGTCTGCCACCGCACGATTCCTCCAGTTTATCCCCTAGCCTAGTCCTAGTCGCTCGACCACGAACAGCTTTGATTGTAACCGTGGGTCAATGACCGCAGGCGGGCTGACTGCGGTCATTGACCCACGTCGCCGTTCAAAGTCAAAGTCAAAGTATATTTATTCAATATGACTTAAGCTCTTATTGAACGTCAACAAAAAATATACCACCGGTTCACTAAACCAGACCTACACAGAGAAGAACCGGCAAGAAATTCTGCGGTCTTGTTCTTTTTGTTATGTATATTTTTTTTTTTGATGCAATTATACACACTTATTTAGGTATAAAATCAGCAGCAGCCAGGGGTCTTGCAAGTGCAGAGCAAGAGTCATTTTCCTTGTCCTCAATGTATTCTTGGATATTATAGTAGGCCCTTGCCATTAAGGTAGCTTTTACAAATTGTACATTCTTCTGCCACTTTTCATTATTCCGTCAAATAATGTATCCACTATGCTAGTCGTTTGGATACGTACAGCTTCGGCTGTCACCGCGGGTCCATGATCCCCGTCAGCCCTGTCGCCGTTCGTCTACCACTTTTCATAATACCGCCGACCAATGTATCCACTATGCTAGTCGCTTGACCTCGATGCTTCACTATCAGCAACATATGGTAGCGCGGGTCAATGACCGCATTCAGCCCAGTCGCCGTCCGTTTACCACTTTTAATGATTCCGCACCAATGTATCCACTATGCTGTCGCTTTACCAATGACGCTCGATGCTCCAACAACTTATAATAGCGCGGATCAATGACCGGAATCCGTCTAGCCAATATATCCACTCAGAGACCTTTTTAAAGAGATTAATATATAGAAATATAGAAATAAGGACAAACTAACTACGCCATTGTTTCGTCTACAAAAAGTAAACAGGTCGTTCATGGGGCAAAGTGTACGCATATATAAAATCCCACAGTCGATATTAAGTCTGCCACTTGATGAATTTAAACGAAAAATTAAAGTAAATTTATACTATTGCCGAATATCTTGACGACGCCAATGTGTGGGGTTAATACTGTTGATACTCACGTAGGCTAAAACAAGACTATTGTACCTGTACTATTATATTTTATATTATATATTTTATATTATATTATATTGTAAACTAAGTTTTTAACCGTCTTCATAAAAGCCTTCTACTTTAGGTAACTGTCTTTAAAAAAATGTTCTAACTGTACATTATCTTGTGTTGTACGGACGTTTTACGTACATAAATTGCACCTGGACAAACACCCAGATCCGAAACAAGTATGAGTCATACAAATAATTGTCCCGTGTGAGAATGTGTGGGGTTGATAGATAATTGTTGGTAATACCGTTGACTCACGTAGGCTAAAATAAGACATACCTGTCCTATTATATTGTAAACTAATCGTTTTAAAAAAGAGCAACTGTTGAGTTTCTTGCCGGTTTCTTCTCAACAGAAATTGCTTTCCGAACCGGTGGTAACTTACGAACGTGTTAATTTCTTTGTAAAATTTCGACGTTTCATAAGAACGCGCAAGCGTCTATGTTAATAAAGATATTTTATTATTATTATTATGCTAGCCTAGTCCTAGTCGCTTGGCCACGAACAGCTTTGACTGATACCGCTGTCAATGTGTTGGAGATTGTTTGTTTATCGATGGATGTTAACGCGATAATATGTTCATCTCATTTACAGTACCAACCTAAGAAGCAAAACACATTAACGTCCTGCGAGCCAGGAATGCGAGCCAAGAAGCGCCCGCGCAATATGCCAGATAAAGACAGGGAAAATACCAATGATGTTGAGGTGAGTGCTAAATCTTACAACATATTCTCGCTTGATCAAATGTACCTCTGAAGTTATTGTCCAGTACACACTTCACAGGTTTATGTTTTGTCCTCACTACACATGTGTACTTCACAAGCGAGCATTTAAGTTGTGCTGGTCAATGCTCATCTATGTGCTCGGCTATGTCCATGCCATAACGTTTACTCTATTTAAAAGAATACAGCCTGGGGGAGAATTTTTATAAACATTTGTTAAATATGTTATAAAATTACTTAAAAATTAAATATTATTTTGCTGTGTCGTTCCTTGTGGCGAGGAGTCTATGTTCATTATTACAATACCATGTCTGTTTCCGGGTCTATTTGATAATTGTACCGCTTTTTCATTCTCCTTTTAAAAAAAACGCTGCCCTTACCGTAGAATAATTATATCCTGTGCTCTGTCCCACGACTGAACCCACGACCCCCGACGCCGAAGGCGACACCTCGGTGGCCGCGCCACAGAGGCATCGAACTCGGTCGTCGAATTACACACCCTGTATATACATAACCGTTCCTGTTCGTTCGCAGCCGTCGGAGGCGTCCGACACGCAGATCCAGCTGCCCGGGCTCGAGCCCGCGCCGGAGACGGACGTGGACGAGCCGCAGGCGAAGCGCGCGATAAGCGACTGAGCCGGCGGCCGCGACAGCCCGCACCGAACCATAGACTAACAGTGGCACTGGCCGTGCGGTGGTGGTGGACAGTGATCTCGCGACCATAGTGCACGTTGCGGCGGCAGGTAGAGTACGGCGGTGGGCCGCACCGCTCTCTACATACACTATACCCCCTACCCTCCTCTTCCCTCCTCGGCTCCGGAATTGGACCCCACTATGGCTCCCCTTCCCGCTCATCGGCCGTGGAAGTGGGCCCTACCGCTCCCTCGATACACTATACCCCTCCCTCCCCTCATCGGCTCCGGTAGTGGACCCCATCGCTCCCGCCATACACTATGGCTCCCCTTCCCCCTTATCGGCCATGGTAGTGGGTCCTACCGCTCCCTCCATACACTATACCCCTTCCTCCCCTCATCGGCCTCGGAAGTGGGTACCACCGGTCTCTCCATGCACTATAAAACCTTCCTCATCTCGCCCCTCAGAAGTTGGGCCCCAAAGGTCTCCATACATTTTTTGGAAAGTTAAGGGTAATTGTATTGTTTGCGCCACCTCATTTCCTCGTCCGCGCGCACACGTATGGGACGGCCACCTCACTGCCATACTCTACTTGTAAGGAATGTGACATAGATTTTATTACACTAATGTCTGTTAACGGTAATATATTTTGTGATGATTCGCGTGTTTTATTTTGTAGTTTGTACTGTTCGCCCTTCGACCCTAACCCGAGTTTTCTCCCCACTTTAGTACCTTCAGCTCTTTCTGTAGGTAGATGATGCACTCCTCGATAGGTTTTGCTTCGCCTTGCAGCATTGTAGAAATATTTAAATTATGTATTTTATAACAATCAATCATTTTATATTATTGATCCTAAAAATTTGTTAATTATATTACGAAAAGTGCCACATCTAGTAGCGGAAAAGTTTAATCACATGTTCCTTAACTTTTCTATAGATCCTACTTTAATAAAAACCATAATTGTATAGAAAAAAGTCAAGTCCAATTTCTTTGAACCAAAGGGCCTTTTGAGCGAATCTTGAAAATATATTGCCGTTGTAATAGATCAATTTCTGTATAATAACGACTGATTCCTTCTAGCCTATGTTATTTTTGTCTGGTTATCCCCTCATTCTTGGAATCCTTGTCACATGGTGTTATGTAGGAAAATCTGTAAATGGCTGAGTTGTGGATAAAGCTTTAACGGAAAGTGGATCAACGCGATCGATGGAGTTTACCGTTTGCTAACATTGATTTTAACTTAACAAAATTGTTATTCTTAACTTATTTATGAATAATTACTAATATGACAGCCATTGAAAGAGCAACAGAATGTCTAGATATTTTTAAACTCACTTTCCTGCAGTTTTATTATTTAGTAAGTTTAAAAGTCTTATTTAGAGTCAATATCTAACAGCACCAACAATAAATTCGTTAATATGTCGAAAAAGAATTGTCTCAAGATTTTTTAAAGAGTCTCGGGTTAGCAAATTAGCGTTAATCTAATTACTATTAAGAGCTTATTGACGTCTTGGAGAGGCCAAGTTTCTTTCTCTTTAGCATTATGTCTAAAGTTGCAATTTTATTTGCAAGAGGAATGACAGTGGTAAACTGCATATTTAATACACATAAATACTATATCTGCACCGAGTAATATAGATTGATGGAATGAAACAGGGTTAAGCCTTTATAATGTTTTTTTTATTTTTTACATTTCGCAGCATTCTGTTTTCAAAACCCAAATCTTATACAATCGATAAAACAGTTCAATGGTTCACGTGTTTAATTTATATTTATATAGATAAACTATAATCATGTTAAACTTTTTTATATTTAATGTCACCATTCAACTGAATTTACCTGTTGAAAAATACAGTAAAACATTTGTGACTTACTTGGTTTATTTGTATCATGATAATTGTAAAGTAAAATAATGTTCTATGTTCATTGTGTATTGATAATTTAAAAAAAAAAACACTGGTAATGTTGTAAATCCACGCTGCCAATAGCTTTACCTATAAATAAAACTTCACTGCCCTGAGGAACTATTCTTTACAATTATCCTTTATTAGGCTTACAATAACAACTTACTTTTAACATAGCAGAAAGTAGCATATGCTGAGACTATGAAGATAATGTTTTTATTAATAAAAAAATAAACTCGAGTTCTGCAAGTTATCCAAAAAAGGTTTAAAGGAATATTTAATGTTAGCGTTATCAACATCAACCGTTAACGGGACCTTAATTTTGTAAATAATATGTATATGTTTATTTCTTCCTGTCGAAGTTTTGCCTCTTTGAATGGCAGATTTACTAATGTTTCTTTTGTTCTGATTTCTTTATATTGCTTAATTTAAATTTGTTTTTAACCAAGATATTATTAAAAAATAAAGTGTTTAAATTGATGCTTAAAACAGCAATTAAGATTTATTTCAGGTTCTTCTGTTACGGTAGATTTTTACATTTGTAAGATTTTTTTTGTATACCCAAGTGATATATTCTTATTAATGAAGTCAATGTACTATTTATGACCATTCTTCAATAAGTTATTGTAAAATAACCAAAGAATGGGTTGATTTCTGAGGTAAGGAGACAGATCTTCCTTTATTTCTCAAACAAATATGGCCATTGGCGCATCGACGTAGGGTCCTTTTTATAATGAAAATGAAAATTTTGTAATAATCGTGATTAATTTATGTCAACTTTCGTGAAACTATGTATCGTCGTTAGTTTTATAAATCACTCCTGAGTAAGTCTATGTATTAAGTAAGAAAATTATATGGCCTTATAAATGATAACAAAATTAAATGAAAAAAAAAATTTACCGTATTGTGTATTGCCATTGAAATATATCTATGGGAATAGTAGAAATTTCTAAGTGTACATTTTCTCGTAAACATGTAGACATTTACCTATTTGATGTGATCATGAGTATCGATTTCTAATAATTGTTTTATAAAAAATTGCTATATAATGAACGATAAACATTATTTGAAGATACCTAGACATACTAAAAGCAAAGGCGTTCATAAACGCATAGCGATTGTATATAATACCCGTTATTACTAAATTCAGACTAAAACTAAGAAATATTTCATAAACTAAGGGATGATTACAAAATAAGTTCATCTCTAAAAGAAATATTGATGTGGATTTCAAATTTCAACGCATTCATATTTGCTACGGCGGTAGCAGTTTATTATTTATTTAAATAACTTTCATTATCATTTCGTTCCATAAATTTCTGGAATACTTCTAAATATTAGCATTGATTTTATTTTAAGTTTTCTGTTTCAATTTATCAGTCGGTTGATTTTACCTATAACTGATTTCAACTTAATATTTTTATGGCCCTTTTTAAAAAAAAACGAGAATTTTTGAATTTCGAATTGAATAACGTCAAAAACAATTTTATTGTATTTGGATATAGGGTTACTGTTAAGAGAGCACAGTCTGTATTATAGTAAGCTAAATGGCAGTGTTGGCTGGTCTGTTGTTTTTAGTAATTAATTTGATTTTTTTCGCTGATTTTCGTACTTTTATGTATACTACAAGTTGCTGTACAGTGACTGTATATTAAATGCAACGCCCTCGCACTTTGTGTAGAAATAAGTTCGATATTTGTTTCGCCTCCGTTGCATATGATCAGTCCTTCATACTGTACTTTGGATATTTCTTATGGGAAAGTATCTGAAATTATTCTTATTAATTTCAAATTGTGCCTGGACATCAGAGCGTATCGATTTCTGTTTTTTACATGGTATGTAACACCTTTCGTATAGGTTTTGTGTGAATACAAAGTTGTTTAATTTGTAAGTAAGTTCTCGCCGTGAGTTAGGATATTTATTAAGTAGGTTTATTGTGGCACCATTTAACATGTCACTCTTATATGTTTCCTTTTGTGCATTAGTTCGCTTTGCGTCGCTGGCGTTGACTGTACCGGCGAATTGGTTTGCCTGCAACGCTCCGATGTCCAAACGACTTGCCGCTACGGCGATGAGTTTTCGATTTCTTTAATGTATTCGTCTCATTGATTTGATGATAAGCGTACCAAAAACATCGCTCTGTCGCCGCGGCGGTGACGCCCCGTAGTTATGTAATGAAATAAATAATAAACACACAATACTCTGTAGTTTTATTGCTCTATGGTTCTTCTGAAATCAAGATCATGCTTCGCATCTTCAAAATTATAATGACCTATTTAAAAAATATCAATTTTTGGGAAATGTATAATAAAGATTTGGGCATTTATGAACAAACGCGGTTATTGGAGGAGAGGGAAAGAGATCGAAATGATAGTACATTTATTGTAATGTATACGTTATGTATCTTTCTAAAATCGGCCCTTTTAATAAAAGTAGAAAAAGGTAGTCGTTTCCTGACAAAGTCAGAATAATGATTTTCTTAATCAGGTCCTTTTTATTCTAAATTTACGACTTTATTGAGTGTCTTGTTCATCATCTACTTTTTTATTTATTTAACTAAAAACTGGCCAGTGTTTGACAACCGCCCGACATGATGGTTTGTAGTGATCCTGGTGGATAACACACACACACACACACACCTATTAAAAGAAAAAATTCTACAAGTTCTTCTTATAAGACGATCTTTCATTGTACTTGGATGGGAAAACTGATGCAGGCTCAGATTCTTTTCACTCTTTTTTTTGAAGGCATTACGAAAGAGGACATCTTCGAAAACAGGAGTTTCACAACAGAAGGATGGAGTTGTAATTAACGTCTAGTTTTCCGATATTGATTTATTTTATGTATGTATGAAATTATTCCCTCTCTCCCAACAATTATATATTCTTGTTCACATTCTGAAACATCTTATAAAAACACTCAGGGACCGGCTTGGCAACACTTCAGACGCTTCAGGGGCGGCAATAAGACAAGCATTTTAAGGTTTTTATTTTTTTAAATGCTCGATCGTTCTTCGAACCTTGGAGCGTGATCATAGACTATTTTTTTAAAATTTTAATGCAAATGAGCAATGTATATTGTCGTTGGTAGTCTTAAATTGAAATGCTATGTATTAGTTGATTCCAATATTTAGTATACTAATGCTCTTATAAGAGCTTCAAACGTACCTACGTAAGATTGTGAGAAAAGACTGATAAAGATTTGGAAGTGTAGGTGAATAGAACGTCAAAAACATGATTTAAAACAAACCACATAAGAGCGAGACCGGAGTGTAACATTTTTGAATAAAAGTAAAAAAAATAAAGTATCAGCCTACAACACATGACCCACTGCTGGGCAAAGGCCTCCTCTGTACAGAGGGTATCAGGGCATAGACCACCACGGCGGACTTCATACATCTTCGAAGTAATTTTTTATTATTATTTAGAAAATATGCAGGTTTCCTCACGCTGACCACGTGGTAATTCAGCACTTAAAATTAAGAATTTAATTGGTGGCGGCACCGGAGATCGAACTCAGGTTGCTCGAGTAAATTGCATTAAAGTCGATCGCCCGGACACTGAGCTGTCACGGCTTAGTGAACGGTAATATTAAAAAAAATCATAACTCGAAAACAAATAAATTAAAGTATTAAAGGAATAAATACTATTTTAAAAACATAATATGTTGCTTTTTTATTCTTTTTACTAGTAGCTTGTGACGCATTACATTTCATTTCTTTATTTACTGTTTTTTTATTGTTTATTGTTTATTTTACCCTTTTTATTGTTTATTGCCAATGAGTACTTCTATATAATGTCTGACACGGTCTAGTCGGGCGGCGTGGCCTCGTCGCTGTACTGCCTCTCGGCGTCTTCGGGGGCTTCCGGCACGGATATCGGACCAGGCCCCTCCACTTCCGGTTCCGTCTCTTTTATCGCCTGTATCAGCTCGCCGGTCGTCTTGTACGACGATATTATTGTCTTGACGAAGTCCCTGTGGCGAATAAAAAATATCGCTTTTGTTTTTCTGTCTTTGAGCCACGCAACAGCCTTTACGTGGGCCCTCGGAGAAGTACCGCGTTTTCACGGAAGAACGGCGTGAATAGTTCTCACAGTATAGACGTTTTAAGTAGAAGTATTCAGAGTGAGGTCCAATCACTTGTGAATGTTCGAAGCTTGTCTCTCTTATTCTTTTTTAAAGGACAACCTCTGTTATCAGGTAAGGTGAAAGTGTGATTTAGAGTGTTCATAAATTGCACTTATGTTTGGATTCGTTTTAATATTTCATGTTTTATTGATAATTGAAGATCAAACGAAAATGTCAGTGTTTTAAATCAGTAACTAGACTGAGCGAGTGATCTCTTCGTATCGTTGTTTATTTAGTTCTTACGTTTATTTAAGTTGCGAAAAAGTTAATAGCCCCTATAGCAAGTCAATATCAAAAATATCTATGTACACAATTCGATATTCGTTCATATGAAACGTCGAAATTTTACATAGAAATTAATACGTTCGTTAGTTACCACCGGGTTGGAAAACAGTCGCTAAGATGAAACCGACAAGAAACTCGACAGTTGCTCTTTTTTAAAACGATTAGTTTACAATATAATAGAACAGGTATAAGTCTTATTTTAGCCTAAGTGGTGTCAACAGTATTAACCCCACACATTGGCGTCGTCAAGATATTCCGAAATAGTTATGTTTTCAATTTGTGTAACGAGCAACAAGTGGAAAGAACTTCAGAAGGGTATTTGGTGATGACTCCGCAGTGCAGTTGCCCAGGTTCGATTCTCACACGGGACAATTATTTGTATGACTCATACTTGTTTCGGATCGTGGTGTTTGTCCACGTGCAATGTATGTACGTAAAACGTCCGTACAACACAGGATAATGTACAGTTAGAACATTTTTTTTGAAGACATCTACCTAAAGTAGAAGGCTTTTATGAAGACGGCCGGTTGAAAGGTGTGGCCGCATTTCTCGGGACCGAAACTCATGATGCCCATCAGCTGGTTTCGCTGCACCGCTGGAGCTCCCGCATCGAACTGCGTAATGTAAAATAAAGTAAATAAAAAATAGAAAAAAAATCCGTATAAATTGTTTCATTTAGTATGATGTATATCACGAAATTATCATAAAATACGCAAGCGGCGGAGATTACTTTTTGGAGTTACTAAAAATTCGATGTTACACATAGCTCTCTTGTCTTTAATCCTATCAGACATTGATAGTATACACTGCAAGAGTAGCCAGCGCGAAGCTAGTATTTTAAAGCGTATCAATTAGTAAATGGGGTAAACTAAATCAATCTTATTACAAAAATATTCACATTCCATCGGCTACCGGGGAGTCTTAATTACGTTTCGAGTGTTGGTCGACCGACGCGACCCACTTTATCAGATCAGAGTGAAAAACGAGACAAAAAGGGCATACGACCGATTTCAGACCGCTTAGCATCGTCTTTATTAAAACATCAATGATTAATGCCCGGTTCCAATATTCAACGAATGGCGGTTAGTTACATAGCTTTGTAACAACTTGTAGATTAAAGGAACGCTAGTAACTCACTTTCCGTAGGTAATGCAACGGCTCGTAAGGAAAACGCCTTGTTTTGTTAATACAGGAACCAGCCTTTTACCTACAATTCGTTATGAAAGTTACGAAGCTATGTAAACAACGGCCGTTCGTTGAATATAATAAATAACCGGGCATTAAGGGGGTTGATTCAGCGCTTACAAGGCAAGCGTCCCTAGATCCGTTGCGAAGGGACGCGCAGAAGAAGTCCGCGGTGAATTGGAAACCGTTGACCAGCTGGTAGGCGTCGATGCAGTAGTTGCGCGTGCGCACCTTCAGGCGAGCTGTGAGAAGGTCGGGCGTGTGGTCCCTGAACGCCGTGTCCGAGCCCTAAAGCAATCCTTATCCTTACTAATATTATAAAGGCGAAAGTTTGTATGTATGGATGGATGTTTGTTACTCTTTCACACAAAAACTACTGAACAGATTTTAATGAAACTTTACAATAATATAGCTTATACATCAGAATAACACATATACTTTAAATATACAGCGTGTCGTTACCATCGCGACAATAAATGAACACACGTCTAAAGCTACTTGCCAATAATCATAAAAAAATATTAACGTTAAATAAAATCCATAATTAAAAAAAAAATATTTTTCAAACAATCTAATTAAGTAAAAAAGAAACAAAATTTGTAACATCCTATACAACTCGCGCCACAGCGTCCCATTACAAGCCTCTCCTTCTAACAGTATGTTTTGTCTCTTTTAAAGTCATTCAACCCATTCATATGCTTTGTGACCTTTACAAATGAACTTTACGTTACAGTTTTATACGTAAGGGTGTTCTAAAATTGTTTGTTGTGGAAAATTTAATAACTCGGTAAATATTGATGTTTGAAGAATGTAAGTGTTTAATACAATTTTAAAAAGTTATCCTCTATATGTGTGTTCATTTATTGTCGCGGTGGTAACGACACGCTGTATAAAGATATTGTGTGAATTGTACAAAATTTAGGTAATGATAAGTGTCAACTAAGTAGTGTATAATAAAAAGCCCATTGCTAATTCCCTTTGGCGGCGCGGGTGAAGCCGCGGCTAACAGCTAGTAAATAGGATAGCGGATAACGGCTCTCAAAATAAAAATATGCAGTGCCGGATTAACCACATAGCAAGAACAGCAATTGTCAAAGGTTTCCTCTGATGATGATGAAATTAATCTGTTTATGTTCTCAGGCTGTGAGGAATTTCACCAATTTCCAGCCAAAACAATTGAGCGTACATAGTTTTAGGAAATTTACTTAACAAGTTACTTAAGTTGGACAATCGGGGATAGGTAATAATTATTTATTATACTAATTAACAATATTTTTCAAGAGTTTTCGAAATCAATGCAAAACATTGCTTAGCTGACAATATTAATATAAATTAAAAAATATTTTGGATGTATACTCTCATCTTTTTCCAGAAACTTCTGATATAATAGAGGCGCCTGATGGAAGCTTCTTAATAACTCGATTGTTGGAAATCGAGCATTTTTTTTATCGTTGGAATAGAAAAATACTTAATATTAGAGTTTATAGAGTTACCCTTGTGGCTCCCCACCCAGAAACGACGATAAAACTCTGCGCAAAAGGTTCCTTGACCCCATTGTGAATCTTGATCAAATTGACATGTTCGTCAAAATCTGCGACAATAAGATAATTAATATATTTTCAACATTTCAACTTTTATATAAGAATTTGTTTACTTATCTTAGAAATAACTAATAAAATTAAATAACTAATTAAATAACATTAATAAAAGTTATTTCTTCCATTCCTTAATGAAAGTTCATTGTCAGGGTTTAATACCTGTCAATGGACTTTCTGTAATAGATGGCTTAATAAACTTGCTTCAAAGTGTACTAAACATTCAGTCTTTAAGTAGTGACGACCCAAATTGCGTAGTGGATGGCCTCCTGCGCCATCCACTGGGTCATGGTCGAACCCATACCCACGGGCGGCGTGCCCGTGGGTATGGGTGTGGGTCCGATCCCCACTACCTGAAAAATATTGTGTGATGATCATAGTGTTTTTCTAGTGTCTGGGTTAGGTTAAGTTACGTTAGTAATATACGTATAATATGTATTTAATTTGAAAAGAAAAGTATGTTTAAGTATGTTTATCAATTATTTAGTATTATTATTATAATTATTTAGTATCCATAGTACAAGCGTTTTATTTTTTACAAGTGATTTTAAGGGTAAGCACGGTTTATCTCGATTTCCGGTAGTTCAATTGCCGTGTACAATTGCAATGTATAATTTTATCGAAAAAATGAGACTGCGGTAATTTTGTTCAGTCAAAAGTTGATTTATTAAATTTTAATTACATTTATGTCTTAGATAATCTCATAATATATAAATATACATAAAATAAAATATAAACGTAAATCGTAATATTGAGTGTAGATACTTCATACTGATAAAGTTATTCATGTTTGCATTTTCTGAGAACATTTACCATAGTAACGTATATTTTTAAACAATCTGAAAGTTGAGATTTCAACGAACAAAATACCCACCGACTTTTTTTCTAAAAAAGCTGATATTTTTTTTTTCATTTGAACTTATCTCAAAAAGTTCGTAATTTATACGCAACTCACTTATTTTACGCGCGATCAAGCGTAACTAACATAACATATTTATGAATGACTACCGCATTGTCAACACGTTCTGTTTTTTAGGGAATAGAATGGCATTTATTTTGGAAAAAAAAACTTCGTTTTTTTTATTTCAATAAATGATTATTCTACCGAGTCTGAATCTCCTGTGTAAATTTGGGCACTTCTCAAAACTCTCCCTGTATATCTTTAAAACTACGCAACGGATTTTAATGCGGTTTTCTTGAATACATAGAGTGCTCCAAGAGGAAGGTTTATACGTATAATTCATGCATAATATAGTAGATAAAAACTGATAATATTAGAGGTTTCTAATGCGATGTCGAAAACAAACATTCAACATTGCACCCGTGCCAAGCCGGGGCTGGTCGCTAGTTTGGGATATGAAAAGATTTGGGATAAGAAAAAATTTTTCACATGAATTATGAGTTTATGTGAAAAAAGTGTAAATACAAAAGTTGTAGATATACCTACAAGATTTAACTTTTTTCCGTAGGCTTTGTAGTTTTGCCGGAAATCGAGATAAACCGTGTTTACACTTAAAAACTCACCCCCCCCCCCCGCCCCTTCAATACCCGAACTCAGATGGCCCGTAATTTATTTAATTTTTATCATATTCCCCCCCTTTTCCAATGAGATGAAACTCATTGGAAAAGTGTTGTTGTTTTTTTGGTTACAAAAATTGATGAAACATTTGATTGTATTAAATACTCGTATTAATATTTCGTTGTTAAAATAATAACGGTTACCGAGGTTCTCCGCTAATTTTAACAGCGCAACGTCAGCGTGCGGCACCGGTTCCTCTTCGAACTTGGGGTGTCTCACCGCTCCAGCCACATCGACCAGGATGCCACCCTCGTGGGCGCGTGGGCTTCCAACGCGCACCTTCACGAACTGTCCAATGGTCTTCAGCGGGGAGACGTGGAGAACGCTGTTTTTTTATTTATTTTCCATTTCAAATAGAACGTTATATAACCGCCATAGGTACTGGTATATCCATTGGCAGATCAGAGACATTTGAAAGGATACTATTCAAAAAAGTACAACGACATCCCGATAAGTTTTTAATTAATAATTACAACAATTCTGTTTTATTGTCGCTGCTTTTGTATAGAAATTCGTACGCTTGTATAGAAAGCTATGTTAAATTTTGTTGCGGTTTCAAATCAACGATGGATTAATGTGGTATGGCCAAGCAACAGTCTTCACTGTTGCACGAATGGGCGGGTCCGTCCGGAGAACTACTCCTACTACTCCTACTCCTACTACTCCTACTACTCCTACTTACTAATTGAGGCAGTGGGCAGCCGTCAGCACCCAGTTGATGTCAACAATAGTCCCGGCGCACCACAGCCGCCCGTTGATTATGATGGCGGCCATGTATGGGTAGTTCTTCGTGTCGCTGGAGTTGCCGCCGCGGATTCTCAGCGCCTCCTGGTTGCCCAGCAGGAAGTCGTTGCGGATCCTCAGAGGGTTGTGGTGACTCCGGCGGCCGTCGACCGCCTCCCCGACCTTCGACCCTTCCTCATCCTCCAGCCGTACGTTGACTTTGAGAGAGACTGAACATTAACGTCTTTGGTAGCTTTCTTTTGATGTGTATGTAGCTGAATGCGGCGAAAAATTTCTCGAGAATTCATCTGTACATTTAAAGTTTCATGATCAGTGCAGAGAGTGGCACTAAAATTAAAAATTACATCTCTTTTTAGGGTTCCGTACCTCAAAAGGTACCCTCCGTCTATCTGTCCGTGTGTCACCACCGATTTTTTCAGGAATGGGTGGACCTATTAAGTTGATCTAGAATCACGAAATTTGGTCATCAAAGCCTAATAGCACAAATAAAAGAAAAATTCCAAAAACTAAAAAGGTGAAAATTAAAGGGTATACCCATACATATAGTTGACGCCAATTAAGATCCTCTGAGTAGTATAGGCGCTCATACAAACACAATAACATACTAGTCTAGTTACTAGTATAATGGTAGTAGTATAAATAATGGTACGGACTCTTCGTTTGCGCATCCGACTCACACTGGCCAAGTGTGAACCCCCCATACTCTTACGACAATTACCGGTCCGCCGGATAACACTACACCCACAGTTAGTGCAACAACAAACACACTAGTTCGCCCTCGCCTCCGAGCACGGCGAGATCAACACAACGCGTACACAAGGTACACCCGCGTTCCAGGGCGGTTCTCACCGCCCCCAGCCACCGATTAGCTAAAAACACAGTCGACGGCCATCGGGGTTTCGGTCCGAACCGCGACCTCGATGGCCCTTAGATGACACACCATAGTTAAACGCACTCATGAGCACATGCGTGGCCCTACCACAGCGGAGGGCCCAAACCCGTGGGTTCTGGCTAGCCCACCGGTTCTGCGTCAGATGAAGCTTTAATAGTCTCGGGACTGAAAGCAAAAACATCAGTCAATACCAGAATACAAGAGACTTTACAGAAGGTTTATAATCATTGTCACCATAAAATGTTTGTCAGTGCATTGAAATTAATCGAAAGACAAAGGTCAGCAAGTGGAAACGGTACCTCTTAATGTTTATGTGCGTGGAATAACATCCTGATGCGTAGCAGAAACAAAACTTTTGGAATTCCACGCTTTACATTTTTTTGTAAATTTCCACTTTACCTACGTTCACGTGCTCTCATGTTTAATAATATAAATGACGCATGCCTACACCAAACACAATCTTAAAAATAAGACAACGGCGCGCTTCTTTTGCCCAACCCTTAATATTGACGTATAATCTTATACCTACATAATAACAGTTTCTCATTTTTCAAAGAATTTTTCAATATAATTTCGGTCCTCGCTGTTGTGTATTTGATTGTAGAAGTATAAATTTAAAAATCGGCCAAGTGCGAGTTGGACTCGCGCATGAAGGGTTCCGTACTATTATCTACAAAAACGGCATTATTTTTTATGTTTTTTTTTGTATTTGTTGTTATAGTGGCAACAGAAATTCATTACCTGTGAAAATTTCAACTTTCTAAATATCACGGTTCATGAGATACAGCCTGGTGACAGACGGACAGCGGTGTCTTTGTAAATAGGGTCCCGTTTTACCGATCAAATCAATTTTCTTCTATTTGATCGGTTATTAACTTACCGGCTGCTTCATTAGATTGACCAGCGACGCAATTGAGTGAAAACGACAGACAGATGCTTAGAGTGAATATATACAAGTAAAAATATCCGCACATATCATGTGTTGAATCTATGTATTACGTTGTGAAGTATAATATTTCACTGTTTAAATTTCGGATTATCAGGTATCGATAAGCATTGAAACAAACATGTTTTATTTATTTTATACGACTTTCCGTGCAGTATCAATTTTATTTATTGCAGTAATCAATTTCATGTACAGTTATAGTATGAATAAAAGAAATAAAGCTGAAATATTATACGGTTTGGTAGTTCGAATGAGTAAACAATTTCGTATGACTGGGATTTTAATCGATAAATCAGTCTCTATGTTGAAGTAATTTGGCTTATTCGTTTAAATATCGTTAGGAAAACCAAATTGTTGGTTTTCATTTTATTTTAAATAAAGTCAGAAACGCGGGCAAAACTTAATTTTTTAATAAAATACAATTCACTGCAAATATCCTTTCGTGTGCGTATATTATCAAAACATATTCATGGCGATTTATTAAAATGCACAAGATTTAAATCCACTTCGCAGTCCGTAAACAAAGAAATGTCACTTAAACCGTTAAAATTAATGATGTGGGATGGTTCTCTATATTCTGTAAAAATGTCTAGGATTAGACAAAAATGTCATAAAATCACACATGTATAACAAAACGCAAAACTTTCCGCTTGTCTCTCAAAAACTTTTAACTAAAAAGAGTTTGTTCAGAACTTTTTTTTTTGTGACGTGTAGTTTGTTGTTAGCCCGGCGGCTTTGACAGCTTCGGCGGAAGATGTCCGCGGGCAGACGACCCACGGACTCGGGAGAACAACGTAGCTGGTGCACGACGTCGACAAGACAACGCCGTCCGCTCCGCTGCACTCCGCAACACCATGCTAACGAAAGATAATCACGAAGGACACGAAGGACAATCGACTAACAGGGGGGGGGGGGGCACGACACGATGAAAGGGCCCCTCGGATGGAGGTTCGAACCTCGGCTTGGATCGCAATCGAATTGTTGAATTGAATCGCAATTGTTAAGAACTCATCTCGTCATTGTGACCTTGTGCTTTACGATATTTGATTTATTATTGATTATTTTTCTTTACCGTTGAGAGGTTGCAGCAAGTATAGAACATAAAACGAGATTTTCACCCGTATAAAGCTTTCTTTTGTTTTCATGTGTAATTTGACGGATTTGGCAACTGGGTATCGTTTTTATAGGAATGTTCAGGCTTCTTGAACTGTAGTAACTTGAACAGTAGGATACATTTGATTATACACCTCGAATGATTGATGACGCCCGCTGAGAATATGACGCGGTGGCGGAGAGACATTAAAAACGGCTGAGCTATGCTTCTAATCATGTCCAATCTATAAATTGTTGGCCAAATTAGCACAGTTACCTAACTCAGATAAGATTTGTCAGAACATAGTAGCGATTTTTAGCGGTTCACCTGCCAGTACGCAGTCACTAGCAGTAAAGGAACGAAGGTATCTATGAAAACCTCTTTTAATTTTATCTGGTGCTTTATCGATCATTCATACATTAGAAGGTACTGGAATGACTCTGCAGTAATCAAGTGAATCAAAATTATCATTAGGAGTTTTATAAATTTGTGAACTTTCCTCAATCACTAATGGAATGCGGCGTGTCTTATCAATGTCTTTCGCCTCGAAGATAAGAAAGCAATTAACCAAATTGGCAACCGAGTTGTTTTTAACTCTAGCCCTTATTTAACGTCACCGACGGTCACTTTAATCGTAACAGTCATAATGTGGTCAATCGATAAGATCGTACAAATTATGGCGCACGAAATACAGAGTTATTTATATAAAAGACGATAAGAAACTCTGTATCAATCCAATGCAAGTTTGAACCAATTCAAAAAACATAAACTTAATCGAACAAGAAACCAGACCTGCTGATTATGTAAAAATCCCTAAAACCTGATCAATGAAATATAAAATATATTTATAAATATTTATTTTTAATTTCCAGACGAGTGTTTTGCAGTATCACTTTAGTAAATCCAAAATAATTTTGTTCAAATAAAAATGTATATGATAACTATAAATTAATAACTGGTCGTGATAATGTAGGAATTACATAGATTCTGTTTTAGTGTTCTTGTTTAAAAATAACCGTGAACCATCGGCTAAATAAGAGCCGCGAATCGATGGAACACCAAACTCGTTTGAAGGCAATGACCATCGAGTGTATTATCAGCGTTAGCCGTAGAAAAAATCATGAGCGATGAAATGCACAGTCGGCATAATCGTCCTTGCGAGTTAAATTTTACCGCGTACTTCGAACACGCGTACAAGAACATCGGGTGTTATATACTCTGTGGAGTATTTATTATTCTATAAAACTACTCTGTGACGTGACGCCGACTGCTTTTGAACTTCGAAGGCGTTCATACTGTCTTTTTTTACGACACTTGTAATAAAAAAACAACGTAAACGTCACAACTAATGGTGGGTTTTCACGACGTAAGCACATGATTCGCGGGTTCGCGATATGGAATCCTTTTTGAAAAATGAAAATGAATTGAATCCTTTTTGAGTTGATTCCTGATAGCGTTTCCTCGATAAATGAATTACATTTTGCATTAAATTATCAATAAGGCTGGTGTTAAAATCACTGTAAGTGTTATTTATTCTTCCTAGTCTATTTTTAGCCTGTGTTTTAGATTCCGTTTATCATAGGGGGTGATTATTTGGGGAAGAACGTTCTTCGGACTAACGTGCTTGCTTTCAGTCCATCGACTATTAAAGATTTATCTAACGTAGAACTCATAGAATAGTAAGTTTTTAGAAACTTTATACCCGCCACGTAGTTTAGAACCGTACGTATACGTACGCTCTGTGCGGGCACTGACTAGAGATGCAACATCGTTCTTTAAAAAAGCGATGTTTGAAAACATCGATTTTCCTACGGTAAACTTCGATCTTAAAAAATATCGATCGTAGCAACGATACATCGATGTTTTTCCGATGTTTTTAATTTTTAATTCTCTTATTCATAACGCCGATCTTTAACACGACTTAAAATGTATTCGGAAAATCGAGACGGAACCATGCATACACTGATTTTGTTTTACTGCAAGGACCTTGGAATGTAGTTCGACATGTCGTCATTCGGAAGCTTATAAATGAAGATATGAGAACACTTCATGTCGCGTTACAATCCTTTAAAAAACTATCATTCAATATCGGTAAGGAAAAACTTCGCAACAAAATTCTTGTAGGAATTCATAATGCGTCAAAATGAATCACTATTAAAACCGTAACGTAATTGGACACAAAGTATAAGTTTAAACATTTGTGGTCATGCATGATCTTAAGTTGATGTTACGTGACGATTAAGCTATGCGGTGGGTTAGCAATGCGGGTCTTATCTCTTGTTTACTATTTTCGATACAAAACAAAGTTATCAATGCTTCACTTAACCACACTTACATGATTTATAAAAAACAGTAAACAGTGTGAAATACTGTAGTAAATATTATTTTAATTCATTACACTCGAGCAAATTTAGTTCAAATTCCTAAGTAAATGAATTAAGTGTAACATATTTATTTATTTATGTTTATTCGCGAGGGGCCAGAGGCTTGTTGCTTTGTGGCTCTCTGGACCCCCAGAGTTGCCCAAAGAAGTTTATAATTTTTGTTAAATATTTTTTGTTAAAATATTTGGAAAAGCCTCTGCTATTTCGCCAGTTCTAATTTCGCTTATAAGGGTTTATTTTCAGGAAGTGACGTTGAGTTTGATGTTAAATAAAATCTTATACGCAAAGCACACCTTGCAAGATAAGAAAATAACTTAATGAATTCGAAGCAATGTTACGTCAGCTCATAATCTTATAAACAAATATGAGATAGACGAATACGGAAATGCCATCGACAAAATAGACTTAGGCTTGGCTAATTGCTTTCACATATATGACCATTTCTCCTAAACTGGCAAGAGCGAACTAGACGCTAAAACATTATTCAAATAACCTCACAGAAGCCAGCCCCAGCGTGAAGTAGAAGTATTACACTTCTGCGTTTCGCCTGGTGAGTGAGGTAGGTCCACTTTAATAAAAGGTGGCAACGCATCTCTACGGGTGTTGCAAATGTCCATGGACGGTGGTTATCACTTAACATGAGGTGAATCGCCACTTTGTTTGCCACTTCATCACATAAAAAAATGTCATTGAACCGCATTCACGCACTGCGTCACATGATCAAAGAGCGATCCATTAATAAAATTAATACGCAGCAGCTTGATAAACACAATGCGTAAAGTAAACGAAATATTAATTATCTCGATGATTCATATGGATCTTGGTCAGCTGATGAAAAACTGCGGCACTATTCTTATCTTTTCAAACTGCCGCATAAACGTCGATGAGTATTTGTGCCCTACAAATGTCAATATGTTTTTCTGCCCTAAAAATGTCAATATTTTTTTGGGCTAGAAAGAATTTCACTTCAGTAGAGCCGAGCAGCAGCCTCTGCTGTAACGAATGGGCAGGTTCATCCGGGGAAGTACCATGACCTCGCAGAAGACCTGCTTGAAGAGGAAGAATGTACTATCCTTCCGCTTTGTGGTCAGTGGGATAACCGGGGCCCACTTTTGAATAGGTTGGCAAAGCATCTGCAGCCCGAAACGTATTGTAGACGTTTATGGGCGATGGTCTCTTAATATCAGGTGAACTGTTTGACCTCAAGCGAACATTTAACATAAAAAAAAGAATTTGTAGAAGTTACAGTTGATTATTGAAAAAAAAAACCTAATTGTCTATTTGAATAAAATTGTAACGTACCTAAATATCTTTACTCTATTGTAGTTGGTATTTTCGTAATTTGCTGATATACCTAGTTAATGAGAATTTTTTATATATATTTTTTCATGCTAATATATTTATTATGTGAAACGCATATTGAAATATGGACGTTGACATAAAATTATTATGTCAGATTACAATTAAAAATTCTCAACATTTTAATAATTTACTGTGGTAAGGCCATGCAACAGGTTGGAGTTTGTAACTCTTGTTGTAAATGTCCAACTT